CTGGCTGGTTACTGAGAATGTGCCGCGTGGGGAGATCCTGGGCTGGCCAGACTTCAACTCTTCTTTGAAGGTTTGGTAATCTGACCCTAATCCCACCACTGTTCTAGCCCCAAGCCCTACCCTAGCCTGGCCTGGGCCAGCCCTTACCCCAACCCAGCCTTCACCCCTAGCCCATCTATGACCTGGCTTTCTGCTGTGGAACCCTGTCTGCACCTGATGCAGCCTCGGCCAGGACCACAGCCCACGCCCCAGCCACTAGCTCGCTCGGATGCTTCCTTGCCCACTCTCCAGCTAGACTGCCGGGCTGGCTTCTGAGCACGGGGTGGGCACCTTGCCTCCTGACCCTTGCACGGAGCCACTGCTGGGTGCCATGTGGTACACAGCCCTATCTGTACCATCCCTTCCTTCTCTTCCTTTTGCTCTCTTTCTCACCCTCCTTCCCTGGGGGCTCAGGAACCATGGTTTTAGTGACTCAGGGGCTATGTCCCTCTGAGCCAGCCCCCAGCCCCCAGCCTCCAGCCCCCCCAGCCCCCACTCATGCCCAGAACTTGTTCTTCATAGTCGTGCTTTCTTCAGGAGCCCAGCTGTGGGGCTGGACAGGGACTGCAGTGCCCGAGGAGAGTCTGCTCTGCCTAGAAACTGGACACTGCTTCAGCCCCCTTATAAAATGTATTCAAGTAGAGCCAGACACTCCTGTACAAATCTTCACCACCCAGCTCACGAGCACGATGCTCTGCATACTGGCTGGCACCTCTTTCTGCTGATCCTCTGGCCTGCCCTGTGTTGGGCTGCATAATCCAGCCCCCAAAAGCTGCTTGTTAGCTGTCTGAGATGCAAGTAGCCTTACAAACTGCCCCATGACCCTTCCTGCCCCAGTCCAGGCCCTCCCAAATGGAGAGAGTGGGTAGCTGGGCACCAAGAGAAGCTTGATTAATGATTGCCTTCTTTAATATTTAAACAAAGCTCATCTCCAGCCACTGTGCTCCAGAGATGGCCTTGTTCAACACACACACCTGCTGCCTGGGCTGTTGCCCTGGGGATTGAGCACAGGGCAAACAGCACCTTTCCAGGCTCAGTGGGGGAGGGGAGGATGGGGAGGGAGAGCTTTAGGAGGACATTGGGGAATGAGTACTCCAGGGGCAAACCTAGGAGGAGGGAGGGAAGGCCTATGCTCCTGCCTCTTCTCACCCTTTCTTTCTTGTGTTGTCTGTCTAACCCAAGGATGCCACACCCAATATGTGGGAACTTACTGAGTTTGGACTGAGGCCGCAGGGGCTGCTGGGGAGGCTGAGAATCAATGTCTGTCAGAGATTAGGGAAACCTTGAGTAGAGTAGCCTCACAGCCAGTAACCACAGAGGGGAGGCGGGAGGCACAGGAGCTCCAGTTGAGCTGGTGGGAGGGCGGCCAAAGGATGGAACTGGCTCGCTCTAGATGAAGGATCTGAGCCCAGAAGTCAGGGGTTCAGGGTACAGAAGGACTGTACCCACAGGCTGAGACCTCCATGGATCCTACCTCTGCCCATGCCCAGGTTTCAAGAGGTCTTCTTGAGTTCTGGCTGAGCCCAAGCACTTCCTGTTCTGACCGCAGGCTCCACAGGCTCCTCGTTTGATGTCTCTGTCACTGCTCTTGCTTTGCTGCGCTGCAGTGTCCTTATTTGTCCCCATTACTAGCTGTCAGCTCTGTAAGGGCAGGACACTATGTAACACCTGTAGCCAGCACAGGCCATGGCACATAGTGGGGACTTGGAAAATGTTTGAGTAAGTGAATCAATGAACGTCCCACCGCCCAAATCCCTCCTCAGAGCTCAGCACCCCACACACTGAGCCCATGAGAAACAGCCCCACCTTTCCTCCACAGACAGCTTATCCCCACACACACAGGGTCAGCCAGGACAACTCTGCCCCCAGCAGGAGGCCACACTTGCAGCCCTCCCACCCCCCAGCCACAGTGGCCAACGAGGCCCCCATCAGGCATTGTGGCTCTGCGTGGCAAAGGCACATCCGACCCAGGACTCTGAGCCTCTCACCTGGACTCCAGCAAAAATCTCACTGAGCCTCCTTGTCCATCTTCCCTCCCCCACCCGCCACTGTAAAATTTCTTTCACTGGACTATTTCCTTCATGTCTAACTGCTAAACAACTTGGTTGTCCATCAGTTAAATCTAGATGTTCAAAATGGCATCTGAGGGTCTTTATCATTCCCTTCTTCTCCCACCTGACCTCTCCCACCCCCCAGCTCACCCCCTGCACTGATCCCACCATCACCCTTTGCCTAAAGTGCATGCCCCATTTGAATGCTTGCCCTCCAAGGCCTGGCTTGAAACTGGGCATTGGACCCTCTGCAAAGCTCCAAGCCCACCAAGATGCTCAGTAAACTGTGGTCCCCTTCTCTCCCTCCTCTCCAAGAAGCCCCTTGGAATAAACCTAATCCCATCCCCATCTGCTTATCCTATTGTATTCATTTTCAACCTGTACTCAGACACTTGTATCAGTGGTCACTTGCTAATAGGCGGTTTTAAATCTGTTCTCTTCCCAAGCAGTGCCTGTATGCTAAGAGCTCAAGAAAGCACCTCATTGCATATTTCTTGTACATCACTCTGCCAGGACCAGGTCCTGGATGGGCTTGCCACTACGAATTCTACGTTGGCACTGGGGTTCAGCTGGAGGGCACCTGGTAAGGATGGGCAAGAGGTCTAACCGTACCGTTGCTGGAGTCCAGCCCAATGGTCAGATCAGGAAAGAGACCTTCAGCAGAAGACCACCTGAGGCCTCTAACACCCCTTTCTGCGCCACCACCCCCCGACCCCCCATGGCCTGAGAGAGACCGCCTGGCAACGTCCGGACTGCCCTCTGGTACCGGGAGCGGGTCTGAGAGGGGCCAAGACCACAGGCCATTGGGACAGAGCAGAAGCTCCTCCAAGAAGTCCTGGAGCGGGACTCCCGCCCAGCTCCGCCCCCTAGGAGTCAGGCCCCGCCCCTGCCCCGTTGAGTCCCGGAGAAGTTGCCCCTGCCCAGCTGCCGCCGCGCGGCTTCTTTCAGCACCGCGGCGCGGACAGCTCCCGGGCGGCAGCGGAGGGGAGGAGGCGCGGCGAGCGGCCGGCCGGGGAGGGCCGGGGAGGGCCGGGGAGGGCCGGGGAGAGCAGCAGAGGGTAGACGCAGGCGGGCGGGCGGGGCACGAAGCCCCGCGGCCCTCCCCGGGGGCGGCGCCCGCCCGGAGCCGGACGCTGCGGAGCCAGAGGGCAGACGGAGACGCAGGGAGCCGGGGCGCTGGTGGCTCCAGGCAGAGGCCGCAGCCGAAAGATGCCGGTCCGCAGGGGCCACGTCGCGCCCCAAAACACTTACCTGGACACCATCATCCGCAAGTTCGAGGGCCAGAGTGAGTGTGTGCGTCGGGTGGGGGCATGATCCGGTTCGGTGGCCGGAGTGGCCGGAACCCTTTACTAACTTCAGATAGAGCAGGGTGGGGGCTAGCTGAGGCTGAACGCAAAACCCTTCTCTTTAATGTCCCCGAAACACCTTCTCCCCCAGGAAGCCCCCGCTTACCTCCAATGCTGCCCTCTCCTCTACAGCACGGTGGGCAGAGCGCAGTGCTCCCCTCCACCCCTGAGCTGTTTTTTTCCCCTTCCAAGCCCTGACCTCCCCTGCTATCACTATACCAATTCCCTCTTGAACCGCCCCCCACCCCCCCAAATTCCTTCAGAGGTTTCCTTTTCGCCCTCGTTTTCACCTCCTAACCCTAGCCACTCTGGTCTTTCCAGGAGCTCACTCAGGCCTGGCCCGGTCTGGTCACACCCCTTTCCCTGCCTCCAGGAAGCCTTGGGCCTCCCTCCCTCTTCACGATCCCACTCATTCCTGCCCTGGTCTTCCCACAATCCCCAGCCCTGACTCCCCTTCCCTCACTCCTCTAATGACTCTCCTGCTTCCCCCTCCTGACCACCCCCTCATTACTCCCAGGAGTCCCCTGACCTTCCCCCATGGCTCTGGCCTCCTTGGTCTTCCCACCCTCCCCAGACCTGACCTCCCCCTCCTCCATTCTGATCACTGCTCTGCTCCCCCATCCAGATCCCCCCTGACTGCTCCCAAGAGTCCCTATGATCTTTCCCTCTCTGCTGCTTGATCCTGGTTGCCATGGGCTTCCCACCTCCCACCCCAGGTCGTAAGTTCCTGATCGCCAATGCTCAGATGGAGAACTGCGCCATCATTTACTGCAACGATGGCTTCTGTGAACTCTTCGGCTACTCCCGAGTGGAAGTGATGCAGAGACCGTGCACCTGCGACTTCCTCACAGGCCCCAACACCCCACACAGTGCCATGTCCCGCCTGGCGCAGGCCCTGCTGGGGGCCGAGGAGTGCAAGGTGGACATCCTCTACTACCGCAAGGATGGTGAGGTGCCCTCAGGCCACAGGTTCTGCAAGGCAGGCTTGGCCCCTCTCTTGTCCAGGCAGAGAGACCATGGGAAGGGCACTGACCCAGAGGACCAAAGGGCCTGGATAAATCTTGTCTCCTCTCTGGGCCTCTGTTTCCTCATCTGTAGGGTGAAGTGATGGACACTGGATGAAATGCCTTCCGAGGTCCCTTTCAGAGGCCAGGGACCAGACTGAGCCACCAACTGGTCCTGGCCCCATGCAGGGCCTCCCGCACCACCATCCCTCCCCCATGTCCCTGGTCTCCTGGCTGTCCACTCTGTCACTGTCAGCCACAGCTGTCAGGCAGCTGGGATGGAAATTAACCTTTACTCATCTCCATCTGCTCTGGGGATTAGGGGAGGAGTCACCCCCTCAAGGCCTCTGTGGCCAGGCAAGGCATGGGGCATCTGGCTTGAAAAGAGTGCTGGGTCTGGCTCACCAAGCCCTAGCTCTGTGGGGAGATAGGGCCTGGAGTTTGCCATGACCTGGAGGCTCATCCTGTTTGGGATGTTATTGCCAGCCCAAGCTTACTGCAAACAGAACAAAAGCATAGGTCAGGGGCTGAGGATGAAAAATTATGGAGTCCTTTAAGACCCTCCCCGCAGTGCTTCACTGGATCCGTGAGGGGAGGGAAGAGAGGAGTGGGAATTAGGATCCTGAAAGTCCCTTTGAAATCACCTGAATCAATGCCCGCCCCAGCCTGGTTCTGAATCAGAATTACCTGGAGCTTGTTTTCCAAAACACACCTTCCCTAGAGAGAGGCTGACTCAGAGGTGTGGAGTGAGGACAAAGCAGGTGTATTTGTAAAAATCTCCCTGGCAGTTTGGGTGTTTTGCCAAGTTTAGGAGCCACTGGCTTAGATAAATCCCTTCCTTTCATGGATGAAGAAACCAAGGCCCAAGAAAAAGAAGGGACTTGGCCAAGATTCTACTGCTTGGGTCCAAACTGGGACTGGACCCCAAATCTCTGGATTCTTCCCTCAGAGATATCTGGTCTGAATAATCCCAAGAGGGGAGAAAGGAACCCAACAGCCTCTGTCTTCGGAGGCAGGACTTTGAGGGAAGGAAGCCTCAGAAGAGGGCCCTCCCTGGGGAAGAAAGCATGAGGATCACTGGAGTGCAGGTAAAGCGCAGGCACTGGGGCTGAGGGGTGCTGACAGCCGGGTAGCAGGGGCCTCGTGTGTGTGTGTGTGTGTGTGTGTGTGTGTGGAGCATGAGTGTAAGTGTGAACCTGAGCATGTGTGTGTGTATTTAAGGGCTTCTGGGTGCTTCCTGGGCAGGTCCTGGCTATACCTCTGGCTGTCCCCTGCTGCTGCCACCCATGTGAATGGGGTAGTGATTAGGGGACTAGGAAGAACCTGGCTTAGCTTGGCAGCGCTCACAGGGTTAATGAAGTCAGAATATTTTTAAAAGCTGTGACCTCACCTCCTCACATCACTGCAGAGAGGAGGTGACAGTCAAAGGAGTGAGAAGGGTCCCAGGGGAACAGGGTGGGACAGCAGGAAATGATAGCGGACAACAAGTCCTTCTCTGTCCCTCCCCTTGACCCCAGAGCTCTACCTGGGCCCCGGAGGGGTGAGGACTGACCACAGACTCCTAGTGATGTCAAATCAGAGCTCTTAGGGTCTCCTCAGCACCCTGCATGTGCCTGGGCAGGGGTTAGAGGTCAAGGCCAAGCCTTGACTCTCAGATCAGGACTCCGGTCTTCAGAACCCTGCTGGGTTCCTCTAGCAATCAGAAGGGGCCCTAGAGACCTAGTCTTGGAGGTTGTCCCTGGGTGAAAATGAAAAATTACCCACATACCTGGTGCCCCATAAATCCCAGTCTACTCCCACCCCCACCCTAAGCCCTTCCCTGTCCTATAGTCCAAGACTTTGACCACCTGGACCTGCCCAAAATTGGCCTGAAACCCAGAAAGGGGAACCTCCTGGCCTGCATTCCCCTAAGGGAAGGATGTAATGTTCAGATAACTTATGTTCACCTTATGGGCCGCTCTGACTGCATGATTGTTTTTTATCATATTCACATACATCTTACAGTCCTGCCGGAGGGCATCCTAATGATGATTTCTTCCGTCCTCAGGATACCTCTTCTCCCCGCTCTTTCCCCCCTCTGACTCCGGGGAGGTGAGAAGGGAAGGGGTCCTGGACAGAATTCTAGCTGATTTATAGTCCTCTTTCCTCTAAAGGGGTAATCCACTGACAGTTCTCCAAGTCAAAGTAGAAGGTCTATGTCCATATATCTCCACATTGTGCAGCTGTGTAAAGCTGGGCTCAAAGAGGCCAGGGCATTTGACAAAAATTACCCTATGAGACAGGGCTCAGAGACCCCTGAGAAACTGGCTCTGCCGCCATCTGCCTTCACTGGGACAAGTAAGAACCTAACAGCTGGAAGGCACGGGGATGGCCATAAGACTAGAACGAACGAAAGTCTGCAGGGAGGGATGGAGGGCACTCAGATCTCCCCCCTGGCCCATGCCCCTACTGGGGACCTGCCAGAGGGGCCCATCCCTGCCTGCTTTGGCCAGATCCTCTTCTCTGATGACCCCAAACCAGAGAGTCCCTTAATCCCCAAGCCCAGGGCTCCGCTAGTCCTCAGCTCCAGATCAGGAGGATAGGGCAAGGGCTGAGGGCTGAGGCCCCAGTGTTTTCTTTACACCCACCCATGAATGTCAGAAAGACCAAGTCGGGAGGCGGTATGGAGCCGCCCTCTTAGTGGCAGCTTTTGTGGCACCAGCTCCTCCCTGAGGGCTCACCACATGCTGGATGGGGGTGTGTAAAGAGATGGGGGCAATGGACAACAGGGAGGCTCACAGGGGAGGGGTGAGGACTATAAGAAATTAAAGGAAGGGACACATCCAAGACACAGAGAAGAGCGGAGAGCAGTGAGGTGTCCCAGGGGGCAGATGCGCCTGCTGCCCTTGGTCAGAGAGGTGACCGGGAGGAGTCCCTGGAAGGGAGAATGAGTACAGCCTGTGGCCTCCCGTCCAGGGAGCAGGCAAGGGCACAGGAACACTGCCACTCCTGGGCACAACCTAGGGTGACCACACTCACCCACTTCCGGTCACCTGGACACAGGTGCTCATGAGCAAGGACAGCTTAGGGATCAGGAAAAGAATGCTCTGAACTTGTCCAAATCCTCATAGCCTCCTGTCTCCACCACCCCACAGGCAGCAAGCGTGAAGGTCAGGCATGGGGTGTCATGCACGGCCCCCTTCCAGCCCTCACTGCTCTGATGGGCTGGTCTTTGGTCCATTCTCAGCCTCAGTTTTCCAAAGATAGCATCAGTGGGTACAGACTGGGCCTTGGCAACCCCTAGCAGCATAGAGCCTAGAGGCCCTGCCCTCTGCCCAGCTCTGCCCTCTCCCCACCTGCTCCCAGGCCAGATTTCTGCAGTGCCAGAGAGAGTGAGGAGATAGTCTGGCCTTGGGAACAGTGTCTCAGGTCACTGGCCAAGGAGGCTTCCTGGGTGGGCCCCAGTACCCAAGCCTCGCCATGCCCCGGGCTGACAAGAGCACCAGGCCTGGGAGGCAGGCCTACAGCCCTGTGAGCCCAGGAGTGCGTCACAGAGGCAAGCGGGTAGCCTCTCCTCGGGGTGAATGTCTCCCGTGGGGCCCAGTGCAGCAGCTGGCAGATGGCTGCCTGAGAGTCCGGGAATCTGATCCTGGAGATTCCTGCTCCCAGGGAGGGAAGTGGGAGGGAGGATGGGGGCAGCTTGGCCGCACCCCAGCACTAATGGTGTGAGGAAGCACACCAGAGGGGCAGCTGGGGGAAGCCTGATTCTAGTGGAACCCAAAGTAGTAATAATCCTGTGAGCTAGCCTCCCACCCACTCACATTTACACACATTCTTCCATTCACTCAGTTAACAACACCTGGAACAGGTCCTGGTCGCTGGCAAATGAGACAGACACAGACCTGCCTTCTGATAGTCATTTCACCTGAGGCCCTTGCCCTTAGCATCCTGACCCTCGGGCCTGACACCCACCAACACTTTGAACTGAGGGACATGGGATGACCGGGTACCATGGAGGGGGGCTCACGGGGCATCCAGCCAGCCCACAGACTGGACTCTGGGGTACAGGGAAGATTTAGCTTGTTTTGTTCCACTCACCTATGAGAGGGGGAGTGAGACCCTGGAGCAGAGAAAGAGGAGGAATGAGGTCAATGGCTGGGTCTGGGCTTCCCGAGAGAGCGGAGAGAGTGGCTGGAGGGCCCGTCCTGCCCCCACCCTGCCATCTATCTCCCTCTCCAGACCCCAGGCCACTGCCCTGCCTGCCCTGCCTCCACCCCCAGTCCCAGCACCAGCACCTCTGCCTTGAGACCATGGGCCCCTTCCAGGCCTGGAGCAAGCAGCCTGGCCTTCATTCCAGTGTCCTCGCCCCAGACAAGTCCCCTCCCCTCTCCAAACTGTTATGTACTGAGAGCCCAGGGCTCCCCGCTGCGGGGCCCCAGCTGGCCCCAGCAAGTCAGTTTCTCAGAACCCCAGGCTCAGCGGAACAGGGGTCCGTGTGTGCCCTCCAGGGATCCACTGGGTGCCACCACGGAGCTTGAGGCTTCATGTGCCAACTGGCTCAGTGCCCAGCACTTAGTGAGTTCCTTCCAGCATCAGGGGAGCAGGACGTCTTTGTGAGACGGGAATATGGGAGCTGAACCCAGGGCCAGCCAGAGCTACATGGGGGTAGAATGCCCGACCTCACCTCCCCACTTAATCCACCCCCATCTGCTCGGCTTTAATTACAGCAGAAGCGAACCTCAAGGTTAAGCCCTGAGCTGAGGGCTGAGTGTGGACTTGGGCCCGATGCTACATTATTTTCTAATGAGAAGCTTAGCTGCTCTCTCCACCTCTGCCCTGTGGGTGGGGCACCTGCTGGGCAGTGTCACCAACCCTCTGCCCAATAGCTCTGGTCACTCTGCAGGCCTCCTCACCCCCCACAGCTGCTCTTAACTTGACCTTAACCCAGCTCACTCTGTAGCTTCCCCAGGCCAGGTTCCTGCAGGAGAGGATCCCTCCAGTGACACCCCCTCCCCGCGGTGTTTGCAGCCTCCAGCTTCCGCTGCCTCGTGGATGTGGTGCCCGTGAAGAATGAGGATGGGGCCGTCATTATGTTCATCCTCAACTTTGAGGACCTGGCCCAGCTCCTGGCCAAGCGAGGGAGCCGCAACCTGTCCCAGCGCCTGCTGTCCCAGAGCTTCCTGGGCTCCGGTGAGGCGGGGAGCAGGTGGCAGGGGAGGGGCGGGGAGCACCAGGTAGAGCAGTGGGTCCCCCAGCCCTGGCTGCTCTGACCCCAGCCCTGGTTTCAGAGGGCTCTCATGGCAGGCCGGGTGCACAGGGACCTGGCCCGGGCAGGGTCAAGTACAGGACCATCAGCCAGATCCCGCAGTTCACACTCAACTTTGTGGAATTCAACCTGGAGAAGCACCGCTCGGGCTCCACCACAGAGATTGAGATCATCGCACCCCACAAGGTGGTAGAGCGGACCCAGAACGTCACCGAGAAGGTCACCCAGGTGCGGCCTTCGGGGCAGGGTGGACGGGACTCTGCTGGGTCTCGAGGGTCCCTTCTCAGGCCCTGGACTGGACTCCTCCGGGGCTGGGCTAGCAGAGGGAGCCGGCCTGCCCAGCCCCCTACTGTCTGGTCTGAGCTCCAGGCCTCTTGTCCTGCTGGAGTCTGATTCTTTAGACCTAAAGACCTACTCCAAGGCCACCACCCTGATGCTCAGCTCCCAGAACCAGGGGAGGATGGGGTCAGCAGAGCCTGTGACTAGTGCCACATCCTAGGCCTGGAGGAGCTGGGAGGGGGGAACCCGCAGGTCACCATGGGGGCCCACCCAAGGCTCTGCCAGTCCTGGAGAAGGAGAAGCAGAGAGAAGAGGTGTCCGGGCCGTACTGAGAAGTGGATGGGGAAGCCCCAGCCCTGCTTCTGCCCCTTGCCTTTGAGGCGATGGCCAGCCCCCATGGCAGGATCCTTCTGCAATCCAGGCAGAGGGGAGGTGGCCCTGGCATCTTCAGGTCCCTGGCGATCAGGCCTGAAATGCCTCCCTCCCCACCACCCCACCTTGGCCAGGCCAAGGTGAACCCCCCTGAGTCCTCTGTTCCAGCTGACCCCAGTGTCCCTCCTCCTGGGGCCTGACGCCCCGGTCCCCAGCTGGCCATCCAGAGGGAAATGCAGAGGGCCGTGCCCAAGGTTCAGGTTCCCTGCCACTAGCCCACTCTGTGACCTTGGGCAAGAGGCCTTATGCCCTTACTGGGGCCCAGGGCTCCCATCCGGAGGAATGAGTTGGACCGCAGTGGCTCTGAGGACTCATCTGACACTGAGGGTGCTGGCCCCACGAAGCACTGAGGGCTGCCTAGGCCAGAGATGGGCAAGGGGCTGCAGGGCGAGGTAGGCGCCTACTCCAGCTTCCCCTGGGACTTTGCTTCATAAGCGCATAAGAGCAGCTCTTTTGCCTCCCTGCCCCTTTTCACCTGAAGCACTGTCTGTGCCGGAGCGGATGGAGTAGAAACTCCTTGTGACCCAGCCCCTCACCAAGCACAGGAACCCTGGGAAAGGACCCCAGGTTGAGGGCTGGGCGCTTGGAGGTCAGGCAGGGTGGCCCAATGGCCTGGGAAGCCCACCTAGCTGCACACCCCGGGGCCCTCAGGTTGGTGGTAGGGGCCATGGGGGCTGTTGGACTGGAGAGTTGCCCGTGAAGCCCGACAGAACTGGCTGGGGCCCGTGGTCCCTGCCCGCACCCAACCTGTCCTGCCACCTTCCCCCTGCCCCAGCCCCTCTTGGCTTTACTAACCCACTGCCTGTGGGCCCTAAGGTGGGGAGGAACCTGACAGAGCTCAGGCTGGCATGGCGCAGAGCACGGAGGTCACACCAGCCTCCACCAGAACTCAAAGGGCCTAGAGGGCTGTGATCCCACACCTGAGTTCCTACATCCTGAGGGCCCACAGGGAAGGGCCTCGTGCTGGCCTCAGAGGTGATGGGAGACTATGGAGGTCTGTGGTGGGGGAGATGGCACCCCTGTCTGGAAGTCCTAAGGATGTACACTTCCTCGGACCCCACCCCCGCAAAGTCTGACTGTCTCCTTCCCACTCCCCGTGCTCTGCTGTTTCATCCTGGCTGGTCTTGAGCAGCCAGGGGCAGAGGTGGCCATGACAGCCAGGCTTTCAGTGCTCGTTTGGCCCCTTTTAGTTGAGCCCCCGCGTGGACTAAGTGTGGGGCATATGAGATGGACGTGCGGGACGAAGGACCTGCAGCTCTAAGTCAGTGGGGGACAGCTGTGTGGTCAGGGTGTTTACAAGGAGCAGGGAGAACATCGAAAAAGATGGTTTGAGTCTGTGCGGGGTTAGAGGAAACGTCCTGGGGAGGCAAAACAGGAGCCGAGGCCAAGGCTGAGCTGGAGGTCACCACAGGGTGGGGACACTGTGGCCCCTCCCAGGGCCTTGGATGGGGGACTGTCTGGTTGGAACCAGCCCTTGGGTGGATCTTCCTTATTGCGATCCCATCTGCTAATGGACCTGGTTTGCAAGGTCAGAACCTTACATGGTAGATTTTCTTAAACCAGGACCACCGGCAGGGCCCTGTCTGGTAGTGCTGGGCAGGGGGTGGGGCGTGGTCCGTGAGACACCCCTCAGGCCCCCTTGTCAGCACTGTGTCTGACATGAGTTGAGCGGTGAGGAGGAATTATTGTGTAGAGCGGCATGTGCCATTGAGGCGCGCCAGCTCATTTACTCACAACAGCCCCGTGGAGTTTGTTGTCCTTTGTCATCCCCTTCTGCCAGTGAGGGAACAGAGGCTCACAGAGGTTAAAAAACTTGCCCCAAGACAGACACACAGCAATGTCCGACCTGGGATCAACCTGGGAGGTCTGGCTTCAAGACGCATGCCTTCCCGCTGCCCCAGCTGTTTGTTGTGTTGGGCAGCTGGGCAGAGCCTGGGTATGTTGGGCTGGGCCCTGGTGATCCTGTGTTGGCCATGGGCTCATAGGCGGGGGTCAGAGGGGCAGAGCAGCAGGGCATTCAGCTGAATGTACTGATCAAAACCCGCTCGGACATGTGAGGTAGCCAAGGCTCTGGCACACAGCATCTGTTGAGGGCTCAGATTAGCTACTCACCCCCAAATTTGGTTCTTTCCACGGCGGCTCTGAGGGTTGGCCCCAGGGAGGGCCCTCACTGGTCCAGGCTCCACAGGACCCTCAGGAATTAAGAGGGTATTTTGCGGGTGACTTGTTCCCATTGGGAACCTAACCACTGGAAACTTCCCAAACCCACCAGAGAGGACTGATGCCCCGCCCCCCCCAACCCACCACCCTCTCAATCTGCCTGAGCCTGGCCCTCCCCTCTCCCCTCCCCCAGCCCTGTCTCCACCCGCTCCAGGCTGGCCTGTTTGAAAGGGAGTTTGTGAGCTTCAAACCTGGGGTCACTGTGGGACAGAGCTGCACCCCTCATCTGGACCCCCTCTCCTCTCTGCACTTCCAACACACCTGTCCCCTTAAGAACTTGCCCTGTCATACGTGCACACCCCATCTTTGTGCCGTCCTCTCTCCCCGGCACAGACCCAATCGCCCACCCTCTCCCACATCTCCCTAGGCCTCAGCCCTGCATCTGCACCCCTCCCAGACCCGTCTCACCAGCGGCGGCCACCCTGCTGACTGCCCCACGGTCCCCACCCCCAGGTGCTGTCCCTGGGTGCGGACGTGCTGCCGGAGTACCAGCTGCAGGCACCGCGCATCCACCGCGGGACCCTCCTGCACTACAGCCCCTTCAAGGCCGTGTGGGACTGGCTCATCCTGCTGCTGGTCATCTACACGGCCATCTTCACGCCCTACTCGGCCGCCTTCTTGCTCGGCGACCAGGACGAGCCTCAGCGCGCAGACTGTGGCTACACCTGCAGCCCGCTCACCACGGTGGACCTCATCGTGGACATCATGTTCGTCGTGGACATCGTCATCAACTTCCGCACCACCTACGTCAACGCCAACGACGAGGTGGTCAGCCACCCACGCCGCATTGCCGTCCACTACTTTAAGGGCTGGTTCCTCATCGACATGGTGGCCGCCATCCCCTTTGACCTGCTCATCTTCCGTACTGGCTCTGATGAGGTGAGCAAACCCCGTTCAGGCCAGCCGCTGTGGCCGTCCCCTGTGCCCCAGCCCTGGGTGCAGAGAGTACCTGGCATTGGGCACCTTTGCCAAAGCAAGTGGTGGTGGAAAGTGGGGGCCTCAGACATCTGTCATCTCCCAGCCCTGGAGAAGGAGCAGCTGAGCACCCCAGGCCTGGGTGCCCTCCCTGTGCTCCAGAATCCTGCCCCTTCTGGGACGGGCACTCCTGTGCCCCAGCCCCTCGTGCTGACTTCTAAACCACTCTTACCCTGGCGTTAGAAAAGGAATCCACAGGCTGTCCCTGCATGCAGCCTGACCCCCTCCTAAGCCCCAGCCCCTCCACTATGCCCACTCTGCTTCTCATAGCTGATGTGAGGGCATTTTCGTGCTCTTCTCGTAGCTTCCAGTCCCACTATGTCCTTTTGACCCACCTTCTTGGGATCAGCTTTCCACTCAAATCAGCTCTGCCTCTTTTGTTTCAGTCAAGCCCCAGTCACCCAGCCTGTCCAGCACGGGGTGTCCATCGTGACTACCTGCTCCCATGACCACCCACTCCCAGCAAATCTATCCCCAAGTCCTCCCTCCCACTTTCCACCCACACTGCCCCTGCGTGCACACTAAGTGGCCTTCTTACCCACCTCTGCCCCAGCCCCACACCTGCCAGCCTCAGCCCCTGCACACAGAGGCCAGAGCGAGTTTCAAATCACTTGTCTGACCCTGTCCCTTATCTGACTCAGTCTTCAGAACTTCCAGTGGCTCCCCAGTGGCTTGGAATAAAAGCCAAGCTCTTTGTGGGCCCTGCAACCACAGCAGCAGCCCCTGCCCACTTTCCAGGCTCACTCCTCACTCCTCCACCATCTTCTACTCTGTGCTCCCAGCTGCAGCATCACCCTTGGTTTTCCACGTGGACTGTGCCCTCTCACAACTCCATGCCTTTGCTCATGCTGCTCCCTGTGCCTGGAGTGCCCTTTACCTCTCCCTCCTGTCTGCCTGGAGACCCAGCCTCCTCTCTCAAGACTCAGCTTCTATGTCACCTCCTCTAGGAAGCCTTCCCTGCCTTGCCACTGCAGACTTGACCTCCCCTTCCTCTGTGCTCCCTGTAGACTTTTGTGCGAGCAAACATAAGGCTATTTGGAACTCTGCACTGAGAGCTCCTAAGGCCCTGCACTGTGCCCCACTGCCAAGAGCCTGGCCCAAAGCAGGCTCTCCGTGTTTGTTGAATGACTATGTGATCACGTTCACAAGTGAATAAACGTGGTCTTAAGCACAGCCTTTCAAGGGCTGACCCCCAACTCCGTGGCCCCCTCCCTGCCTCTCCAGACCACAACCCTGATCGGGCTGCTGAAGACGGCTCGGCTGCTACGGCTGGTGCGTGTGGCTCGCAAGCTGGACCGCTACTCTGAGTATGGGGCAGCCGTGCTCTTCCTGCTCATGTGCACCTTTGCGCTCATCGCACACTGGCTGGCCTGCATCTGGTACGCCATCGGCAACGTGGAGCGGCCCTACCTGGAGCCCAAGATTGGCTGGCTGGACAGCCTGGGAGCGCAGCTCGGCAAGCACTACAATGGCAGCGACCCAGCCTCGGGCCCCTCGGTGCAGGACAAGTACGTCACGGCCCTGTACTTCACCTTCAGCAGCCTCACCAGCGTGGGCTTCGGCAACGTCTCGCCCAACACCAACTCGGAAAAGGTCTTCTCCATCTGCGTCATGCTCATCGGCTGTGAGTGTCCCGGGCCTTACTCACAGGATCCCAGTTTCAGTTTTGTAATGCGATATAACAGAGTGTGTATGGCAGGCAAATCCTAAGTTTGCAGCACAATGAACTTTTGCATATGTGTACACCAACTATACACAGAATTTGACACCCATGTAGCCCTCGCTATACACCAGGGATCAGGACAAGCTACGCCATTTTCAGGGCCCGGTGCAGAATGAAAATGTGGAGCCCTCTGTTAAAACAAAATTATTATGAATTTCAAGACGGTGACAGCACAGCGTCAAACCAAGCCCAGGGCCCTCCTTAGCACAGGTCCACGCCCATGACGTATTTAGAGATGTTAAAGCCCAGAAAAACAAAAACAAGGGGAAAATGGGTGAAAACAAGAGACCAAGAGTTTTTCCTTTATTATATTTTTACAACTTGAAAGAGAAAACAAATCTGAACTAAAAAAATTCATTGCCCTAGTTTCTTCTTCTCAGGAGTTTGGCCTCTGGGCCCAGGAAGGTGCCAAGAGGGAGGGCAGAGGGAGGAGGGCAGGAAGCCCAGGGGTCTTTGTCCCCCATGTGCCCTGGCGCTGTCCTGGGCACTTGTGACTTTGCCCTGGACAGAGGGGTCCCCGGCTGGGGGATCCCAGGGAGAGGGAGGGAGTCCTGGAGCAGGCCCTGAGGTGTTGTGGCCTGGTGGGGATGCTCAGGAGCTCACCCCTCACCCTACCCCCGGCCCATATCCCCCGCTCCCTGCCCCAGCCCTCATGTATGCCAGCATCTTCGGCAACGTGTCGGCCATCATCCAGCGCCTGTACTCGGGCACGGCGCGCTATCACACGCAGATGCTGCGAGTCAAGGAGTTCATCCGCTTCCACCAGATCCCCAACCCGCTGCGGCAGCGCCTCGAGGAGTACTTCCAGCACGCCTGGTCCTACACCAATGGCATCGACATGAACGCGGTGAGCCCCCGCCGCTCTGCCTGGGGCGGGGCGGGCGACCTAGCCCAAGTCCCAGCTCTGGCTAACTCCCCGAGGGAGGCCAAAGTCCCGCGGGCGCAGGGCGTCCCCAGAGCCCTCCCCACCCGTTCCCCCAGCCCCACTCCCGCCCCGGCCGCGCCCCGCTGGACGCGACCGCCCTTCTCGCAGGTGCTGAAGGGCTTCCCCGAGTGCCTGCAGGCCGACATCTGCCTGCACCTGCACCGTGCGCCGCTGCAGCACTGCCCGGCCTTCCACGGCGCCAGCAAGGGCTGCCTGCGCGCGCTCGCCGTCAAGTTCAAGACGACGCACGCGCCGCCAGGCGACACTCTGGTGCACCTCGGCGACGTGCTCTCCACGCTGTACTTCATCTCCCGCGGCTCCATTGAGATCCTGCGCGGCGACGTGGTGGTGGCCATCCTCGGTGCGTCTGGCGGGGAGGGCTAGGCCGGCGTGTGGGGTGCCCTGCCTGGACCAGGCCATCCCCAATGATGACGGTGGCCCCTCCTGCTGACCTGCCGTGTGCAGAGCGTGTGCCACGGGGGAGCTTTACACCCAGCTCACTCAAGCCTTAAAACTAACCTCTGCCACAGGCCCCATTTTCCTGATGGGGAAGTTGATGCTCAGAGACGTCCGGTGGGTGGACAAGCAGGGATTCCAGGGCTACGGGGCTGACTCGGAAGTCCAGGCAGCTTCTGACCTTCTCCCACCCTTGGGAAGCTCAGGGTGAGAGGGCGAGGGTTTGCCTCAGATGGAGGGGGCTCCCCAGTCTCGGTGCAGCTGCAGGGACAGCTGGACACTTCAGAGGAAGGATGCGAGCATTGGACGGGGGGACAGATTTGGGGCACACACGGCCCCTGTCACTTACGTTGAGCAGGTCACCGCAGCTGTCTGAGAGCTCATCTTCCTTGCCTTCCCCCGACTTCAGCCCACCCCAAGTCCCTGCCCAGGCCGTCACTCACCCTCCCCTGCTCGCCATGGCCGGGCTCTATTCCAGCCCCTCCACCCAGTCCTCTCCCTCTGGCCTGCCCTCGGCTGGTGTTCACCAAATGTGCTGCTCACTCTCTTCTCCCATTACATCCTCACCTGGGCCAGCTCCTTGCTCCCATGATCTCAGCCTCACCTATGCCACAAGGACCCCCAGAACTGTGTCCCGGCCCCAGTCTCTCCTTAGACTGGACTACTCCATGAGTTCTTGGGCACGGCCACCCTTATATTCCATAGGCAGACCAAACAGCATATCTCAGTCTGAAATCATCTGCCCTCAAAGGCAGCTCCGTCGGCATCCCCATCACTGTGAACCTTCCGTTGCCTGGGCCAGAGACCTGGGAGTCAACCAAGGAAGCACCCTCCTCCTTTCTGCCCCACCGCCACCATCCAGGCAGCCATGGAGCCCTGTCTGTTCCCCTCATTAATATCTCTCTGTCCCATACCTGTCTAGTTGTCCCTGCCTGGGTCCACCCCTCATTGTGTCCTTCCTGGGCAGGTGTCAGGAGCTCCTTTCCCATGGCCCTGAATCTGGTCTACTGCCATACTCCATCTTCCACCTTCTGCCAGTGACCTAAAATTCACACCTGGCATACTCCTCTTTTGCTCAAAATCCTTCCATGGGTCCCATGACCCATGGGACAAATGTTAAACCCCTGTGCATGGTATGCACAGCCCTCCCCATTCTGGCCACCTTAAGTCCTGCCAGCCTCCCCCTTAGTAGTTCACACTCCAGCCATACAAACTAGTTAGTTCTGTAAACCTGCCCATCTGTCACACCTCTGTGCCTTTGCACGTGCTGCCACTCTGCTCAGAGCACCTATCTTGCACCCCTGCCTGGCAGACCCCAGTCATCCTTCAATGCTGAGCTCAAGCACGGGCTCCTCTATGAGCCCTTCCCTCAGTCTCAGCCAAGCTTAGAAGTGCCATCCATGTGGGAGAGATAATAATTATTATTAATAATTAAGAAGCCAGTCCAATTTAAGTTTTATTTAGAGACATGAACTCCTCTCATTTTGTCCTGAGTGGAAATGGACATTAGGTCATAATCCTTCATCTACTGGAAAACCATCACTTTATAATGTTGCCCAGATTTCCAGCTTCTTGGGTTTCATATGTGACCCTGGAGGGTCCCTTCCTTCTCCAAGTCTCAGTCCCTTCCTCTGTAAATGACCTTTTACCCGGTTCTCTTGGGGCACATGTCTTGGCCTCTGTCCATCATTGTGCAAGCAATTAGCGCCTCTTGTGTGGTATGGCCAGGCTGGGGGGCTGCACTTTCTTGTGGGGAGTGGCCATCCAAGTAATCATGGTCCCTGGCACCCTGACCCTGGGCTTTCTGCCCCCAGCCCTGACTGTGGCTTACGGACCACATGCTGCTTCCTCCACCCCATTGCCTTTTTCCAGTCCTCCTAGAGTCTCACAACACAGCCCCCCCGACTTCACTCGCTCTGTAAGCCCCCCTCTTCCCTGCTCCCAACCACTCCTGGTGGAACGAGCTTCTCCCTCCCCCATAGCCCCATTGCTCTTGGCTCTTCCCTGTTCTAAGGCTCTACAGATCATTCTGTAATCTGTCTCTCTGGGATTTGGGGGGTTCCTTGTGCATGGGACAGCATCTTATTCATGTTTACGTGCTGTGGCTAGCACAGTATCTGGCCCAGGAGGGCCCGATACCCTCACCACGTGCCCCTGTATCCAGCCCATGTCCACCCTGTGACATCCGTCCCCCCCTGTGCCTTGCATCCACCTGTCTGGTGCGTCTTGCTATTCGAGCCACTTCCTCAAGCATCACATCTGCTTCTCTGGACAGCGCATGGGGGTAGACAAGGCAGATATGGTTATACCCATTTTAGAGATGAGGACACTGGGGTCCAGAGAGAGGAAGTGACTTTCCCAGGCTTCCTCTGCTGGGGCCATGCTGGTCACTTGGCCCCACCAAGGGAGCGGGAACACGAAGAGAGAGAAGCCTCAGGCCCCCCCCGGGGAGCTGGGTACTCCTGACCCTGGGTCCCGTCCACTCTGCAGCACCGTGGCAGCCCAGAGAAGAAGAGATTAAGCAGGGAGCCTCTAGGGTCCCTACTGCCCACTGTCCCCTGGGTGGGGGTGGTAGGGGCAGTTCCAAAGAAAGTGGGACACAGGAGGGGGGAGTCTAAAGAGGATGGTCCCGAGGGGCCTGGAGATAGCAAGGGACCCCACATGCTGGGGTGGGAGGGGTCTCTGCAGCACCCCTCAGCCAGCACATCCAACCTTGTTCCCGGGCCCCAGCCCAGAAGGATCCCTGAAGTGGGGTGAGGTCATGGTTAAGAGGTCCTCAGGGAGGCTCCTCAGAAGAGAGCTTGGAGCCAGGCCCTAGAAAGACCCCGCCCCTCTGGCTGGCAGGAAAGAATGACATCTTTGGGGAGCCCGTTCGCCTCCATGCCCGGCCAGGCAAGTCCAGTGCAGACGTACGGGCCCTGACCTACTGTGACCTGCACAAGATCCAGCGGGCAGACCTGCTGGAGGTGCTGGACATGTACCCCGCCTTCGCAGACGGCTTCTGGAGTAAGCTGGAAGTCACCTTCAACCTGCGGGATGTGAGTCCGGGCTGGATAGGCTGGGTGGGGGGTGGCCCTCGGCCAGCTGGTAATGGGCAATGGCCAGTCAGCCGGCTGAGAGCTTGGCCTGCCTGGCCTAAAGGGACCCATCTGGCCACCTGCCTTCCTTTCAACCCCCTCCTGCATCCTTTGCCATAATTTCTTCCGTGCCTACCATGGCCAACACGATGCTAAATATGAAGGTAGCTACCAATTATCAAGCACCAACTATGTGGTAAGCGCTGGGCTCCTTTTACATGATCTCATTTAGTCTTCTCGCAAGTGGTGTTATTATCCCCATTTTCCGGATGAGGAAACTAAGGGTCATAGCGGACAAATTACCAAAGCCACACAGCCATACAGTAAGCCATATAGTCAATGGCGCAGTCAAAAGGGGACTCAAGTTTGTGCATCTCCATAGCCCGGGCTTTTCCCGCCACATCCTACCAAGCTGCAAGGGGCGGGTGCGGGGCGGGGGCAGCGGTGTCTGCCATCCAAGAACTCACAGTGCCAGGTCCCAGGGGTATAAACAGTAATAGAGCAGTCTCTCCTCTCAAGTTTATCACTCAGTGGAGGAGGTTATAATAACTCAGGAAAAAGAAAGAGCTGCATAGTTAAATCACCAAGGAAGTCTCAAGGCTGTGCTGGGAGACCAAATATTTGTGGAGCTCAGGGTTGCCAAGGCGTGGGGCAGCCAGTATGGAGTGGAAGTGCCCGGAAGGGTCTGTATGGAGGAGCGGGTCTGGAACCAGCTAGTGGGAAGGCGGGGACAGGCACAGCCGGCAGGGGCAGCTGCAGCTGAGGCCCCGATGCTGAGCCCCCACCCCCGGTGTCAGGAGGAGGGGTCCTGCTGGCCCAGCCCCACACCCAGCTTCTGGAGGTGGTGCTGAGGCAGGTTGACATGCTCCGGACAGCCCTCCCCACCCTCTGCCTCTGCTGTCCTCCCCTTCCCCGGTCTGCCCCCTTCGCACCTAGGGGACATCTTGTAAAGACCCTGCCTTGGGGGAGGTCCAGCAGCCGGGAGCCATCAGGTGGCCCAAGTGCTCAGTGGCTGGACTCCAGGGCTAGAGGGATGCGGTCCCCATGGCCTGGGATATCTGCAGCCCCTGGGTACCCCCAAGTCTCATGATGCCAGGAAGGTGGGCTGCCAGGGGCGCTGCTGAGGGCATCCCCTGAGCGGACTGAGACTTCCAGACCGCGTCTCCTCAGAGGAAATCGCCCCCCCGGCCCGCGCCGACGCAGGGGCACCAGGGCGTCGGGGAGGAGGGAGGTGAGCAGCCCCCTGTGTCCCTCGACCCCGACCTTGCTGCCCAAGGCGGCCTCTCTCGAGACTCTGGGGGGCTCTGCACGTCTCCAAGGCCCCGTGCATCTCCCACCCACACACACAGGACAGGAGCTGCCGGGAGCACAGTCAGGGAGCCCAGCCCCCTGTCACCACTTTCTCACCTAGTGGCCACAGGGCCACGGGGGGAGGGGGAGGGGAGGGCACAGAGGCCCTGTCCTGGCTTTGGTCCCTGTTACTTGATGCTCTCGTTCTCCACAAGGCAGGCGGGGGTCTCCAGTCATCACCCCAACAGGCCCCAGGCGGCCAGGACCACCAAGGCTTCTTCCTCAGTGACAACCAGTCAGGTGAGCAACGCCAGCCCCCTCCAGTGTCCGCCCCTCCCCAGCCCGAAGCCCCTGCCCAGCCTACTGCCCCTTCTCAGGTCCTCTCCAACCCGCCTCCCCTGGGAGAGGCCTCCCCAGTCCCCTCAGTGAGTGGAGAGGGGCTCCCTCCCTAGGCTCAGTGCCAGAGGCCCTTGTGCCCTTCCTCCCGCTGTGTCCTCAGAGCCTGAGTGAGGGCTGCCCTCAAGAGTAGATAATGGCCAGCCCCTGGGGCTCCACATCAAGGCACCAAGGGCCCTGCTGGGCGGCAGCTCCCTGGACAGTGAGGCCAGGGCTGGATGTTCCCACCCAGCCAGCCACCCACCCCTACCAGGCTGCGGCCCCAGGCCCCCTCCCAGGGCTACAGCCTTCTGGGTCCCAGAAGCCAGACCTCTATGGGGGCAGGACCTCGTACTTCAGGGCACCCAGGTAAGGAGATCCACTCCTCCCACCCTGTGTTCCCATGGCAGGTAGGGGGAGGGGCCCGGGCTCTGCTCAAGAAGGTCAGGCCTGTGGAACTGGCTGAACCGAAGCTCAAGTTTCCCTTGCCCTGTGCAGGTGCAGCCCCTTCCCTGAGCATCTCAGATGCATCTGGCCGCTGGCGTGAGTTGCTGCAGCAAGTGCCCCCCAGGACAAGTCAGAGCCCCCCAAACCCTCAGGGAGACCCAGACTGCTGGCCTCGGGAGCTAGGCTCCAGGCTAGAGCAGCTCCAGGCCCAGATGAACAGGTGAGTGACCTGTGGGCCACGGATGGGGGCAGCCACAGAGGGCAGGCCCAGTGGCAGGCTAGGCACGGGTGCCCCTCCTGGTGCCTCAGGGACATCGCTGGGTGCCCCATGGGTTTGAGAATGGCCAGCCCCATTTAGCTGCACACCTCCCCATCCCTGTAGCTAAGTGCAATTCCTTGGATGGCTTGTCCCAGCAAACCCTGGAGCATGCCAAGGAGGGCTCCTGGGGAGAGGGGCATAACCTCATGCAGAAACAAATTCCACGGGCCCTTGGAAAGGGGGTGTGGCCTGTGGATGGCAGGGCTGTGGTGGCAGAGTGAGGGCTTAGGGGCACTATAGTCCTGGGTTCAAATTCTGGCTCTGCAACTTACCAGCAATACTGTGGACAAGTTACTTAACCACTCTGAGCCTCAGTTTTCCCTTTTGTGAAATGGGGATAACCAGAATACCCACGTCAAGCTTCATTATGAAGCCAGAGTATCTCTTTGACAGGCACCCTCTGGGAAACAGTGTTAAGGAGGGTTAAGCCTTAGGCTGGCTTCTTGTAGCCACGGGGGTGACTTCCCTGGTCACCAAGGCAGTGCATGCATGTTTGGGTTACCATCACCTTTCCTAAGGTGCACCAAAACATCTACTTAGGTTCTTTCCATAGCACCATTCCATCAAATAAAGTAATTTGGTTACCCACCCCCCTGCCAAAAAAACCTTCATTATGAGGACTAAATGATGTATGTACCATGCCTGATCACTGTTATTATCAGAGTCAGGGATGTGCTAAGGGGAATTTGGGCAGGGGCTATGGATTATAGCAGGGAAATAACAGGGACAGCACGCAGGCTACAAAATCGAGAGCTGCCCTCAGGGCCTACACTGCTTTTGCCAGCCCCAGCCCTGACCCTGACTCCGACTGTGGGGTTTTGCCCGGCAGGCTGGAATCACGCATGTCCTCAGACCTCAGCCGCATCCTGCAGCTCCTTCAGGAGCCCCCGCCCCAGGACCACACTGGCTACATTCTGGGAGCCCCTGCCTCCAATGACGCGGCCTTGTCTCCTTCAACCTCAGCGACTCAGAGTCCAGGAACTAGACTACCCCAGGGCGATCTGCCCCCTGCACAGGTAAGCAGCTGAGGAGATCCCCAGGGGCTTGCCTGGAGGCAGCTGCATGTCTTCCCCCACCCTTAACTTGGTCTCAATGGGCATCCAGCCCATGGCCTCTGTGGTCCGAGAGCAGCTATGACTTTTGCTGTCCTCCTTTATGGTCTGAGTCACGACAGGCAGCCTGGACAGGCGGTGACAGAGCCCAGATTGTGACCAGGGATGCCACATCTGGGGCAAGGGCAGCAGCACACAGCTCCTGCCATTTCCCATCGCTGAAGTCGGGGTGGCCTGGGGAGGCTCCCCGTACTGCATGCCTCCCTCTTTCTTGCCCCTCCCGGGCCCCCAGTTATGGTGACCTGGACGAATGGAGGCCGAAGCTCGGGAACTCCTCCTCCAGGATGCTGGCCCCAGCCACAGAAATGGACAAAACTGCAACACTGTCCTTGGAACAGAAGCAGCCTGAGGGGCTCCTGTCACCCTTGGCCTCACCTCTGCATCCCCTGGAGGTGCAGGGACTTGTCTGTGGTCCTCGCTTTCCCTCCCTTCCTGAACACCTCAGCTCTGTCCCCAAATAGCTGGAGTTCCAGAGACATGGCTCAGATCCTGGATTTGTGAGGAGCTAGAGCCACTGTGCCCCAAGATAAGAGACACCAGGAAGGAACTGAAGGTGGGTGAGGTGACAGTTAAGGATTTGGGGGAGGCAGACAGCCTGTAAACTGAAAACCATTTACCTAGAGTAGCTACAAACTGCCAATCCAGGTGACCCAAGATGGCTTGGGCAAAGAGGCTCAGGACTTCTCCCAACCTCCCGCAGGTCTCTATTTAGACAGCAGGCCTGGTGGAGGGTGGGTGAGCCTCAGGAGTAGAGGTAGCTTATGGGACAGAGGGCTCAGTGAAGAACAGAGACCTTTGTGATCTACTGTGTGAGAGCCTTGCTCTGTGCCAAGTACGATCACCTCCCAGCTCAGAACTCTCCCCACCACCCAGCCAGCCCCCAAGGTTGGTCAAGACCTCCCGCCGAGAGCTTGTGAAGCAGCTGGAGATGAAAGTGTCCTCTGTAGTGGACACATCAGGGACAGAACTCCAGCCCTCAGCCCCTTTGCCCCCGACGGTTCCGTGAGGAACTTTGGGACCCTAGTAGACAATGGAGTGTCTCAGAGCTAATAAAGTCTGCACACTTCATGTTGGGCTGGGTGTGTAACTTACGTCGGGTCATCAGGTCCTTGATTGTGCTGTAACTGACAGCCGTGATCTTCTCCAAGTCCCTCTCCCAAGGAGCTGTGTTTTGGGGACCTGAAGGTGGATCCACCATGTTCAGGAGTCCCCGGAACAGGGGGCTTTTAGCCAGGCTGGGGTGAAGGGAAGCAGAGAGGCGCTGGCTTGGTGGCCATAGGGAATCATGACAACAGCCAACACTTCCATAGCACTCACCCTGTGCTGGGGGACACCGTGCTGACTGCCCTGCAGATATTAGTTCATCAGCTCTTTACAACAACTATATGGGGTCAGTATTATTATCCCCATTTTAAAGATGAGGGATCAGAAGCAGAGAGACACTAAGAAATTTACCCAGCAAGAGGGAAACTTCTGGGGTGCTGGTATTCTTCTATTTCCTGATCTAAGTGCTGATTGCATGAATGTGTTTCAGGCTGTAAAAACATGTGCACTTCTATGTGTAAACTATACTTTGATTTAAAAAAAAAAGAATATTTCCCAAAAACATATCAAAAGAAGGACATAATTTCAACACAGATGGTCTGGTTTGAGAACATGTGCAGCCAACTACTCCACTGAAATTGGCTGTTGTCCAAAGAAGTCAGTGGTCCTGTCCTTTTGCAGTACTCCCTAAAAGAATTTTGAAAATGTATTTCCCCCGCACACATTTTTAGTTGACATCTGAAGCATTTCATGATAAGTTTAAATAGTTAAAGAGGGGGCTTCCCTGGTGGCACAGTGGTTGAGAGTCCGCCTGCCGATGCAGGGGACACGGATTCGTGCCCCGGTCCGGGAGGATCCCACATGCTGCAGAGCGTCTGGGCCCGTAAGCCATGGCCGCTGAGCCTGCATGTCTGGAGTCTGTGCTCCGCAGCGGGAGAGGCCACAACAGTGAGAGGCCCGCATACCACAAAAAAAAAAAAAAAAAAAAAAAAAAGAGGACAGGGCTTACCTGGTGGCGCAGTGGTTAAGACTCTGCCTGATAATGCAGGAGACATGGGTTCGAGCCCTGGTCTAGGAAGATCCCACATGCCACGGAGCAGCTAAGCACGTGCGCCACAATTACTGAGCCTGAGCTCTAGAGCCTGCAAGCCACAACTACTGAGCCTGTGCACCTAGAGTCCATGCTCTGCAACAAGAGAAGCCACTGCAATGAGAAGCCCACACACCGCAACGAAGAGTAGCCCCCCACTCGCCACAACTAGAGAGACCCAACGCAGCCAAAAAAATGAATGAATAAATTTTTAAAATAAATAAGTAGTTGCAGAGGACATAATTTCCAGTGTGTTGTAAATATTGACACTTTATAAACTGTTGCATTCATATCAATCTATTTCAATCCAAATAGCAGTGATTCAGAAGCCGATATCATTCATTTTAAAAGAGAGCAAGCTCTTCTTTAACATAGTTCCTTTTTCTCTGCTCATAATTCCACTCTATTCCATCCGCAGTTTATCTGACATGTAATTTATTTCCATGCTTGAAAGTCTATCATTAATAACCTCATCATATCTGTTTGGAAAACACGCTCGCTGCAAATAGAGAAAGCCCGCACGCAGCAATGAAGACCCAACACAGCCAAAAATAAAATTATAAAAAATAATAAAAAAAGAAAATCTTAAAGTAATTGTAACCTTACTAAGGCTTTAAGGGTTACACTTATTAGTACTAGGTTTTTCAAAACAACATAAATATCTCTTTAAATTTTTATAGAAACTAAAATTTTATTGGATATACATCTCTTACGACAGGGAATTTTCCTCTCAATTAGTTCATGTGTGTGGATGAATATTAATTTTTTATTAGAGTAAAACAGAAGCACAGAGAAAACTTGTTCACATAAGGAAGTAGATAGTACTACAAGGGGTTTGTTATATATAACAGTGTCACTCAATTCTTTGAATTCTTTCTGAGCTGTGTTAACAATCACATTTATCATTAAAAACTGTTATTTAATGATATCTAACAATTCAATCCTCCTTTAGTTTTGTTGAAAGCAAATTATTGGAAACCATTTAAATTATAAAGAGATGTTACCTAGGTTCGGACCCTTCTCCATTTCAAACTCAAGACACAGATATAGTATTTAGGGCTAGATTAGCATTTGCCTTGGGACCCTCGGTGGGGAAAAGATGGAATGGGAACTAATAAAAAGTGAGCGCCACACTGGTCGGGCTGCTGCCTGCTGAAGACCAACCCTAGAATTCAGAGCATTTCTACAGTGGCCAGGATAGCGCAGGAAAGCCTGACTGAAGCTGGCCTGGCCCTGAGTACATCGGCGTGTCCAACGGTGTGTTCGCCTTGGGGCGCTGGGAGAACAACATTCCGGCGTAACGGGGTCGTTGGCATGACGGGGAATTACGGTGGTTCCCGTTTGGCGCAGGCCAGGCAGCCAGGCCGCGGAGCTCAGTGCCGCGGAATGCAGCAGGCCCTACGGTAAGGCAGAATTTTCTTTTTCACTCGACAGATTGGAGAAGCCGTTGGAAATAGCAGCTGCTGTGGGGAAGTCAGAGCAGGTCACACAAGAGCTTTCACGCTCAGAGACTTGACCTAGAACTTGGAGGCCTGCAAGCTAGCGCGCTAGATTCTAGGAACCCACGCCCCCATTCACCCGCACTGCCCTCTTATCTCTCTGACTGACATCTTTGTCAGCCAATGACCTTTGGGGCTGTGAAAGCCCCGGAGTTGGGCAGGGCAAGTAATTGGAATGACAAAACACACCAATAGCAAGGAGGTTTCAGAAGCCCCCGGTACAATAGCCAATGAGGAGAAGGCATCGTTCGAAAGGACGTGTCAGGCAGCGAACGGTCGGCGCCGCTGCGAGGGTCGCGTAGCTTCCGTTCCGGGTGGGCGGGTCGGTGTCTCAAACGGAAGGTGGCTGTCGTCCGAGTCGAAGCAGGTTTGAAACTGGGAGTTGGGCTTGGCCCTCGTTGTCTGTCGCTCCGGGACCTCTTCCGGGCTAGGCCGTCACTGCCCGCCCCCGCCCCGCCTCCCTTCGGACACCTGGGTTCCAGGCCAGGCTCCCTTCCCGATTGGCGCCCCCGCCCTCCGCAGCCCGCTGCCGTCCCGGTCCGCACTGCGGCTCCGCCGCCGCCACCATGTCCCTGCACGGCAAACGGAAGGAGATCTACAAGTATGAAGCGCCCTGGACCGTCTACGCCATGAACTGGAGCGTGCGGCCCGACAAGCGCTTTCGCCTGGCGCTGGGCAGCTTCGTGGAGGAGTACAACAACAAGGTGGGCCGGGCAGGGGCTCGGAACCCGGCTGGCGGGGAGCGGGCCCCGGGGGCGCCCTTTCCGGGCCGGAACCCAGACCCCAGGACCCTCCCGCGGACTTGCCCTAGCGCCACGGAGCGGTTCCTCTGTGTCTGGCCCTGTGCAGACAGTTTCGCTCTCATTATCGTATTTAATCCTGGCAGCATTCCTGGGTAGTCAGGAGTGTAGTTACTCTCATTTTACTGATGGGAAAAGTGAGGCACCGTGTTGTGACTTGCCCGAGTCACACCGCTATTTCGTGACGGAAACAGGCCTCAAACCCAGGTTTACACCCCAAAGCTATGCCATTTATCACTCCTATCCCCTCCGCTCCTGCCGCATTGCTTCAGTTAGGGGGCGGAAGAAGGATGAGGGAATGATGGCTGTGAAGAAAACGCTGGCGCCTCGGTGGTCACTCCTGGCCACGCTAGATCTCTATTAGGACTGTTTACTGCGCAGGCTTCCCAGCCCCCTACACCCACCCCCAGGTACTCTTCCTGGATTCCCCCAGCCCTTTGCCGGGATTACCATTGCCATTGCTGCCTCATATTCGTCCTCTTCAAAGAGACCCTCTTTTTGGAAATCTTGGCCAATGGCTGTAATCCCGCCATTGTTTTCCGAACAGAGAAGGATGATACTTGCCGTATTTTTTTTCTTGGCATCTTTCGTGCTAATACAGATATGTAATCTTGAGTAGTAAGTCTTCCTGGACATCCACAATTTGAGAATCCTTCATAGAAGCACGGGTAGTAGGAGGAAGCTTTAAGCTGGCAGTGCAGCATAAATTTATTTTTGAAAGTTGTTGAATAAGTTAGTGGGAAGAGTTTTCTTTCCTTTACTCCTTAATCTCTTCCATTTATCGTATTAGAGTAAACGTGATTGATAGTGATCAGAGCAACGGAGAGCCGTGCCTAGCGGTGTTGAAAGCCTGTACACCTGCTTAACACCATGAACACCGTGACTTAAGAATAAAGTGTTGGATGGTGACAGGCATGGGGCAGGGAAGAAAGCCAGGTGCTCTAGGGTTGGGTCCTGTCTGGTCCACTGACCAGCTGTGGGGCACTGCACAGGTCAGTTTTATTATTTCTGACCCACAGTTTGTTATAGGAAAGTTCTTTTTTACACATAAAGGTCCTGTAAAAAACATTTGAACATTGTAATTTTGTTGACAGTTTTTCAGGAGCACATCTGTTTCTCTAGAGTTAGGTCTTAACTATTTTGGAATCCCCTTTGAGAAAGTGATGAAAACGATGGACTTTGATTACCCAGACATCACACATGCACAATTTACAAACAAATCTTGGGGAGTATGCACTGATCTTGGAGTCCACCCATTGCCCACAGAAAGCAGAGTCCTGACAAGACATAGCTTTATTTTCTTTTCTCTGGTGCCTCTTTCTTCTTTATGGCCCATAGTGAACGACAGAGCTGGGAATGGAATTCAAGGCCCTGATGTGTGAACCGAACTAGTAAAATTGAGAACATTAGAACTGTTGTTTAAGGATACATGTGTAAAAGGGGAAAAAAAGTAAAATATATCTTTCAAAGGGCTTGAATCTTTTCACACGGATTTTTTTTCCTTGCAAGTTCTTCCAGGGTCGATTTGGGTAAGCAGTAGTCCCATTTCTAAGAGAGGAGAAACTGAGCCACAGTTAGGCTGCTGGGGGAATCAGTGGAGTAATTGGTGTCAAACCTCCGTTGCAGGGACTCTACCCCAAAGTTTGTCCTTTCATTTAGTAACCATGTGGAGCCCCTTCGTTGTGCCACAGGCACACAGGCCGCGTGGTTTGATGATCCCAGGGGTAATAGGTTAAGCGGTTACCTTTGTCTCAGTTCACTTGCATCATGTAGTCAGTACAGTGTCTTGCCTACTGTTTTGTGCCCTCACCTATCTAGGTCAGAGTTCTTAACTGTGTGTGTGTGTGTGTGTGTGTGTGTGTGTGTGTGTGTGTGTGTGTCATGGACACCTTTGGCAGTTTGAAGCCAGTAGATCTCTGTTCATAATTCTGTTTTCAAATGCATAAAATACATAGGATTACAAAGGAAACCAATCATATTGAGCTATAGTTATTTTTGTTTGTTTGTTTTTTGTTTTTTGCGGTACGCGGGCCTCTCACTGTTGTGGCCTCTCCCGTTGCGGAGCAACAGGCTCCGGATGCGCAGGCTCAGCGGCCATGGTTCACGGGCCCAGCCGCTCCGCGGCATGTGGGATCCTGCATCGGCAGGGGGCTTCCTGTCGATGCAGGGGACCCGGGTTCGTGCCCCGGTCCGTCAGGATCCCACATGCCGCGGAGCGGCTGGGCCCATGAGCCATGGCCGCTGAGCCTGCGCATCCGGAGCCTGTTGCTCCGCAACGGGAGAGGCCACAACAGTGAGAGGCCCGCGTACCGCAAAAAACAAAAAACAAAAAAAAACAAAAAAAAGTGATAATCTGTACTTTTAAGTTAACTCATTAAATTACATCATCCATTATAATCATTAATCTTGAAGTAGGGATGAGGGTAAACAGCATTTCAAGATGTTCACTGTGATGTGATATGAAAAAAATCAGTGATTTTTATTGGTAACAAATCACAGATCTTGATGCCATGGTGAGTAGCTGCCTCCATTTGTAATGGAAGGAAATGATAAATTTTAGCTAGAGGTTTGTGAAAATGTAAATGTGATTTTCCACCTCAAGTTCATGGACCTCAAGGTCAGAAACCCTGCTGTGGAGGATCTGTGCCTCGGGGCTGGCGGGCAAGTAAATCTCACTTTAACACAGTGATTATCAGGCTCAGTTTTGGAGAAACCTGGACATGGAGGTGCCAGACTTCATATTTTAGAGGAATTTTAAAATTATTGGTTGAAATTCTAAGACCTTTGGTTCCTGTTTGCTGACAATAGTAATTGCCAGTAGAGGACAAAATAAATTGACACAGCAAATTAACATTGATGAAAAAGCCTAGAAACGGTCATCTTTTTTTACTGTGAGACATTAAGAAAATGTGATTATAATTTAAGAAAAATTTTGTATTCATGTCATCACATTTTCCTGTAGTAAAATTATTTGTAGTTCGGTAGAATTAAATCTCTTAGCATTTCAAGAACAACTTGACTTCCAGGTGTTCCATCATCTGAATAAATTTGGGAATTGTTGTGGAGTAAACTAGATTCTATCAACTACACCTGGAATAAAGAGTCCTACTATTGGTAATTGTGTTTGATGTTGTTTTTTTGTGGTCTCTGCTGGGGGATAGAGCAACACTGGTGTTGGAGAATGGTTTTCTAAATTTTAGCTTGTGTATAAGAATCCTTTGAGGGACTTATACATTCTCAGGCTTCACTAGTTAACAGACATCCAGGTGATTCAGACACAGGTGGTCCAGGTGGCGCTCTAAGACCATTACCCTGGAGTTACCTTGGCATCTCCTGACCAGAGACAGGAATCCTTCTTTTTGCATCTGCATGTGCCTAAACATTGGTTCCATCCCATGAAAAAAGCTCAATTACCAGATAGCCTCTTTGAGGTAGTCTGGGTTGAGATCTCAGCCCTGCCACTTACCAGTTTTGTATGGCCTTAAGCAAGTTAAACTCTGTGCCTCAGTTTCCTCATCTGTAAAATGAGAGTAATAAGAAAGATTAAATGAGTTAATATATGTAATGGAGTTAGGAACTCTGCCTGGCACATAGTAGGCAATTTAGAAATGTTAGCTATTATTACTTAAACATCATCACTACTCTATCTGTAATTGAAGTATAATCAAGGAGCATTATATGGGTGTTAGGTAAATTTGACTTTTGTATTTTCCAGAGAAAAATCAGGACCTTAGGTCAGAAAGGTACCTCAAAAGGTCATTATGTTCATTCCTTTGCCTTTTAAAGACCCAGGGGAAAAAATTCTCTTGGTTTCTTTCAACCAAACCCATTTTGTGGTGTAGAAGCTTCTTGTTGTCGGACTCCAAGTACTGTAATATGCTAGTTTAAGCCCATTTTCTCTTGTTCTACCTGGATTAGACACAGCAACTCTGATATAAGAACTCTGGGGCTTCCCTGGTGGCACAGTGGTTGAGAATCTGCCTGCTAATGCAGGGGACACGGGTTCGAGCCCTGGTCTAGGAGGATCCCACATGCCGCAGAGCAACTAGGCCCGTGAGCCACAACTACTGAGCCTGCGCTCTAGAGCCCGTGAGCCACAACTACTGAGCCTTCGGGTCTGGAGCCTGTGCTCCGAAACAAGAGAGGCCACAATAGTGAGAGACCCGTGCATCATGATGAAGAGTGGCCCCCGCTTGCCACAACTAGAGAAAGCCCTCGCACAGAAATGAAGACCCAGTACAGCCCAAAATAAATTAAAAAAAAAAAAAAAAAAGAACTCTGGTATTTCTCCTGAGGTTTGACAATATCTGTCATCTTTAGACAAGTGGTATTTCCCTTGTTTTATGGGGAGAGATGGGTAGCAGTTCCTGGGCTTCTATTCCACTTAGTTGCATGTTTCAGGGTTGGTTTTGAATAGAATTGACAGCATGATTGGGATTTATTTTGCCCTGATATTTAACTAGCTGACCATTTGTGCTTTAAGATTTGGCATCTAAAAAACATTTTTTGAGGTTCTGAGGAGAGAAATCATAGGTATACCTGATGCTTTTTGAAGAATACTGGTAGTGAATCTGAGTAAGACTACCTTGTACTTGAAATGCACATGGGATGAATGCTTGCCTTGTCAGCCTGTGTTGATTCATATGAGATCTTTAATGTAGAATTACTTTATCTATTTGGCACATAATGGGGTTTTTTTTGTTTTTTGTTTTTTGTTTTCCTGCGGTACGCGGGCCTCTCACTGCTGTGGCCTCTCCCGCCGCGGAGCACAGGCTCCGGACGCGCAAGCCCAGCGGCCATGGCCTACGGTCCCAGCTGCCCCGCGGCACGCGGGATCCTCCCGGACCGGGGCACGAACCCGCGTCCCCTGCATCGGCAGGCGGACTCGCAACCACTGCGCCACC